AAAAAAAAAAAAGAATCCCCTCCTAAAAAAAGACCCAAACTTATTGAAAATATATATATTACAAATATAATTTCGATTCTTGGGAAAAAATTGTAAACTTGGAAACTTTTTCGTGATATTTCTTCGTGATTTTGCACGTGCGTAAGATCTAAAAATTTGATGAAAGATCAAGTTTCCTTTTTCCTTTTTTCCACGAGTGCATTAAACATTCTCGATCTCAAGATCGGTTAAAAAAATAAATTTCGACTGATCGAGAGGTAAAATAAAATTTTCAAGGTACAAAGGGGAGAAAAGAAGAGGGGGAAGGAAAAATATTATTTCTCTCTCGCGATTTTGTGAATTATTGTCAACGATTTCGTGTAATTGGCCCCCATCGCTTCGCAACGAGAGCAAGGAAAAATAATAATCGCGGCTGAAAGTAGATCGTGGCTTGTGTATCGCAATTAAATCGTTATTAGTATAAACTTCGTAATTGTGATTATCAATTTGCATTCGAGCGCGGGCCAGCGCGTCGGAATTTCCGTGTACGTCAAATAGTTCCCTGTTATCCATGCTAATGGACCATATAATGCAACCAAAATTCGGCTGGCAATAAATTACGCAACTTTAGTTAACTAACCATACCGTGACCGAGGTCACAGTAACTATAATGATTAACTAACGTCGGATGGATAATGATCGCTTTTTACTGCACGATCCTCCACAGTAATTCCGTATCCTCCCCTCCCCCCTCGTTTAAACATTTCCCTTCGTTACAACTTTCTTTCGCGATTATATCATTTTCGTGTTCTTCTTCGGCCGAGGAAAAAAAAAAAAAAGAAAAGAAAAATCGTCGACGATAATTTTAAAAGAATATTCGAAAAAAGAATTCGATTCGAGTCGAATCGCGACTTAACGGAGGAAAAATTTATCTTTATTTTCGAAAGAGTCAAGAAAGATGGTGGGGGAAAAAACCGGATCTATATATATTCATTGGAATTATTGATTTCGAATTTATTGAAAAGGATGAAAAAAAATTAATTTGCATGCAAAAAGGAAGAAAAAAAAAAAACTGTTTACATTCGTACAACTATGCATAATTTATTCTCGCGAGTATCACGATGCAGTAAACAACGCGCAAGACGGAACAACAGCATCGTTCAAATAATAGATCGAGTAATAATTCCCGATAACTGTACCGCTTTGTGAACACACAATGGCGCACGATCGGCGCTGTTATAATGTAGTAAATGCCGCGATCTGGGAATAATTAAATCGGATCGCTCGCATGAATCGATTTAAACCTGTAACGTTCACGTTCGCGGACGAAAATACGTGTATCGCTCTCCTCTCTAATACCATCCCTCCCCAAAAAATACTTTGTACATAAAAATAGATGATTAATTACCACTCTATAAACACTATATATATATATATCAACGAATAATAAAAACTTGAAATAAGAGAAAAAGTTTAAAGAAACGCGTTACTCTGATAATTCGATGTAAATAATATATTCCAGAATGAGAGACGCTCTCGTCGAATCTGCTCGTTCAAACTCCTCCGCCAATTTACTCCTGTAACTTGACGAAATGATAAGAAAAAAAATATTATATTTTCCTCTCAACAATCCTCTTCCTTCTTTCTTTTTTCCGCCAAATAATAATCGGCCTTCGAAATAGGAATCAAACTCCCCCCCTCTATACGCAACTTGGACCGCATCTGCTCATAACCTTCGTCAAGTTGCTGGTCTCAGTAGCCAAGATGGCTTCGTTCGATAGGAAGGGCTAACGAAGTTAGTAGACGTCTCCTTGGCAGCAAGGAGGAGGGGGGTGGCGAGGGGTGGAAAGCTAGCGTAGAAGATGAGACCGCCTTGTCGTCGTCGTCGTCGTCGTCGTCTAGAGACACGAAGGTCTA